ATTAAAATAAAAGGATTACAATACATATGAGAAGATCTGGAAAGATAGGGAAGATTTAAGGGAAATGTTAAATTAAAATAAAATGTTTTTGTAGTGGTCATAGATTTAATTTGACAAAATATTTTCAAAACTATCTATAATGTGTTTGTGAAATGCTGTATACAGTATTCTTTACAATTCTTTCACAACAAGGACTAGCAAGTTCTAGATGAGACAGCAACTTTCAAATGCAAGAGCAAGAAGAAATTCTGCCTCGGGTGGGGGGCGCAGGGGGAGTAGTGCCATTGTAAATAGAGAAAGTATAAGGTTTAATTTTGTCCTGTTTGCTATATCTTATTGATATAATTGGTGGATATGTTTCTGTTTGTTTATTCAGCCTTAAGGGACATGGATAAAGTACAGAACAAAGCTGAGCTAAACATATTATTATTTAAAGGTAAGAGTTTAAGTATATCTAAATCCAGAAAATTGGACCATATTTTAACTACATTAGTTTATTTTGAATACCTTAATATAAATTATAATTGAAGCCCCCAGGGCCCCCATAAAAAAAATTGCGGCCCCAACACATCTTGTGGTCTGGAACCCCGGGCGCCCACCACCAAGTTCACCCATAGGGCCCACCTAGAAGCCCACCCACATGGTCCGACCACGAAGTCTGTCCACAAGGATTCAGTGTGTGTAGAGTGGATACAGGGTGTGTGTTTTGTGGATGCAGTGTATTTGTGTATTGGATGCAGCATGTGTCAAGTGAATACAATGTGTGTTAGTGCATGTGTAATGCATGCAGCGTGTTTATATTGTGTATCTTGTGTGTGTTTATATTTTATATATATTTTATTTATATATATTTTCACATGTCACATACATGTTTTTCACATAGTTAATTTTGCATCATCTCTGGGTCTGGTCTTTCATATTAGATGCCTTAAAACATACTACTACTTAGGTCATGTGTGATCTCTATCCTCTATGCCTTGTATAGCACTGTCAGTGCATTTCTACCACTGCCCTCACTTTTGTATACTCATTACCTAGCAACCACTCTCCCATGACACGCTACGTCATGACGCTTTGTACGTCACGTCACGTGACCTTCCACACTCACTTCCAGGTCAGCACTGATCGGGTATATTTACATATTGTTATATTTACATATTGTTATATTTCACATTTATCTTGAGAAAGACCAAAACAGGTTGAAACGTTGATCGTTGAGAGTGCACTCTTTCTTTCTTTCTTTCTTTCTTTCAATTTTCTATATATTTCAATGCAGGACTGCACCAAGGCATGTGACCCAACCGGTCACTTCTTCCCAGCACTTGCTGTAGCTGACATAATTAAAAAGAGCTGGCATAATTAAAAAGAGCTGGTTGTGCTATTAAAGGGCCGTAGCACTGAACAGGCCCCTGAAGACATATGCCCATTGGGTGGCCCTAATTGCATGGACCACCTGATGGGACCCAGCTCTGCCGCCATAGAAGGGGAATATGGGGACATGGGGCCCAGGCAACCAGGCCCCACAAGACCACCCACCCTGTGACAACCGTCATAGCTGTCACCCCATGATGGCAGCCCTGGAAGCCCCCATGAATTAGTGCTTACTGACAAGCTTAACATTAAAAAAAATAATAATATTTTCTTCATTAAAACTGGAAGACTAATATCTTTTGCAACTTTTGGGTGGCATTTCCACCATGCAAGTTCTACTTGGAAAAAAATGTGATTTGCATATACTGTCAAATTAAATATGCATTAATGGCATGCTACTAGAATGACAAAACATTTCTGTTTATTCAATAAGCTGAGTTTTAGCATTACAAAATCCTTTTCGAGTGTAAATGAGCGGACTATAAAGATGAAAATGCAAGTATATTTTCCTGATATTTGTTCTCTTTTCCTTCTATAACATTGTCATGATCACAAAGAGTTATATTAGCATCATCATCTTTGAATAAATTAAATTTGCAAACAGTATCCCAAAAATACTCTGTGTCTTCACTTGTAGACAATATAACATCTGATGATCAATAAATAATATTAATATATTCTTCTTGAACACCATTGTCAATGACTTACAATGCTTATTGGCATGATGCTTTTAAATATAACTGTCATGTCATTTGTCCAGCAGACATGATTCTAGAATCAGAATATGAACACTTAATGGGATCTGTGCAAGTAAAAATCAATAAAACCATGTCTTTTAGTAAAAAGGTGGGCAAATGTGAGGGGAAATGGGAAAATAAATATGTCATAATAACAGCTAAACATTTATTTTTAATTTTTATTTTTGTTGAAATAGGAGAGAAAGCTATTTTGTAAAATATATCAGTTGTAGAATCTATAAAGTCCTGTAGAAATCAGAGATATAAGAGTATTTGCTTACTGACTGAAAATGCCAGTAATATGAGAGCTCATAATGGAGAAAGTATAACATAGTACTGCAGGAGGATCTGTGGCAGAGAGAAAGTGCTTTGATCAACCTATAAGTAGCTTCAGGTTGAGGCATGCCAATAAAAAGATGCATCATTAAAATCAGGAAACTGCCACTTCATTACAAAGGCCACATGCTTAACCCCTTAGTGACCAACCCGTTTTTCAATATTCATACCGTTTGGGACCAGGGATGTTTTTACATTTCTGCAGTGTTTGTGTTTAGCTGTAATTTTCCTATTACTCATTTACTGTATCCACACATATTATATACTGTTTTTCTTGCCATTAAATTGTATTTTTCAAGATACTATTATTTTTATTATATCATATAATTTACTATAAAAAAATATAAAGTATGATGAAAGAATGTAAAAAAACACACTTTTTTAACTTTGACCCCCAAAATCTGTTACACATCTACAACCGCCAAAAAACACCCATGCTAAATAGTTTCTAAATGTTGTCCTGAGTTTAGAAAAAAACTATGTTAACATGTTATTAGCTTACTTTGGAAAGTTATAGGGTTCTAAGTACAAGTAGCACTTTAGCAATTTAAGACTACATGTACTGAAAACTTTAAGGGCTACTGCCAAAGAACACCCCAATATATGTTCAGCAACATCTCCTAAGTACAGTGATACCACCCATGTATAGGTGTGTCGGGTTCTCTGAGGGCTAAAATACCTTATTTGGAGGGTGCGCATTCCAGTTTTCCAACTTGGAATTTTCACAGCTGGTCATCATGCACCCATGTCCTATTTGGACATTTTTGTAATTTACCCCCATTAAACCATATGTTTTTGAAAAGTAGACAACCCAGCATTTATATTTGTTTGTGTGTTAAAAATATGAATGCTAACTTTGGCCAGTGTTTATGACTAAGTGGCTAGTAAAAAAGACTGAACATACCCCATTTGCAATACCTTGGGTTGTCTTCTTTTGCAAATGGTATGCCATCATGAGGGTAATTCTAATTCCTGGGCTACCATACGTTCTCAAAGGCAACCCAACCAATCTGGCAAATTTTTTTTTTTAGACAATCTTTATTTTTTGTTTTTGTCAGTTGTGTAGGAGAAAGCACACATTAATAGAATCAACGGTAACATGCTTATAAGTAACATCCATAATATGGGCCATCTATCTAGCCTGAAGTTTGTAACAGTGGTACAGAGATAGTATCAACGATGCAAGTTGATGTGTCAGTGGCATATCACCAGGACAGGGAGTTCCTGTTGCGTCATTTAGCTGTTTTTTTGCGTAGTTGGGTGGAGAAGAGGGCGTCTCCGTGAAGCTCATAGCTACAGGTGTGTCAAGGGAGTCGTGTGTGATCCTTATCTCCTTGGATTTAGGCTTATCCCACCCCAATCATCTCCCCACCCCCCCCTTGAGTTGGTCCGTTTCCCCCCTGGACAGCGTGAGTGGTAATGCCTCTGATTTATCTGCATTGAGCTTCAAATTTCAGAGGAGGCCATATTCCCGATACATAGTGAGACCAATAGGTTGTTGATGACAAACAGCAGGTCGTCGGCATAGGCGGCTACTCTCTGTTCCTGCTGCCCACAGGAGAGTCCCGAAATACCACCAACCCTTCTGACCGCCCCATGAAAGGTTCCAGGGAGAGGGCAAAGAGGAGGGGGGACAGAGGGTATCCCTGTCTCGAACCGTTCGGATGTTGAATGGTCATGACAGAGCCCCATTGATCCGGAGCCTGGCAGTGGGTGTTGTGTAACGAGAGGCGATCCACGTCAGCATATTTGGTCCGAAACCCAAAGCAGGCAGAGTTGCTAGCATGAATTGCCAGTCAACCTGGTCGAACGAATTTTGGGCGTCTGTTGAGAGGGTGAGGGTTCTGGGGTTGGCACTCCGTGTCATATGGATGATATTAAGGGCCTTGATGGTATTATCCCTCACCTCTGGGATAAAGCCCACTTGGTCTGGGTGAACCAGGTGTGGCAGTACTCTCCCCATTCGTAGGGCCAAAATATTTGTAAACAGTTTCAGATCTGTGTTAAGAAGGTAGATCAGTCAGTAGCTCGAACAGCTGGCTGGGTCCTTCCCATCCTTTGGGATCAGAGTAATGGTCGGTGAGTTGTCGGACCACGTAGCCAGCAAAATGTTGCTCGATTTATAGCGTGAGGTATTCTTTCGAGACGAAGATGTAATCCAGTCTGCTGTAGCAACGATGCATCCCTGAGTAATATGAAAAATCTCGGTCTTCTGGGTGGGCCACCCTCCAGGTATCGGTGCCGGAGTGCCGTGAGAGCCCTGTGTCGGGCCATAGCTGGATCCGCGCCCCGGAATGTGTCCAGGCGCGGATCCAGTGCCAAGTTGAGGTCTCCCGCCACGAAAAGAATTCCTTCTCTGAATCGGTCCAGGGCAGAGAGAGTGCGCGCCAAGAACTTATGTTGTCAAACCAGTTCCACAGAGTCTTCTATCCTGGAGATAATTGGGAAGTAATCCAATTATCGCCAAGGACAGAGGCAAAACTCCATTGAACACATCGCAGCAAAAGACAATAAAACACATAAAAACATATAACTGTGCAGCCATTGCACAAAACAGGTACATTCAACATATCCCCAGATAGCTCAGATCTGAACGCACATTATTACTGAATGGCGCTCAGAGCACACACATACAGTTCAATTGCCATGGAGCCAAAGTCTTTCCCATAGTCTTTCATTATACGAATGGGCTCCATGGCATAGCTATCTGGGGTATCACCGCTCAAACAGGGCAAGCACCAAATGACCCGGCTTTCATGTCTTTGCAGGGAAAATCAAGCCTTTTAACATGGGGCCATAATCCAAAGGCAACAGGCGAGCAACCAGGCTTCTCCAATGCAATGTGGCGAGATTGGTCTCGTCACAGGTATCCTGAAGAACCCCATGTATTCTCTTGTTGTCAGGGTGGACATTCGTCAAGACCCCTGCATGTCCCCCCAGTCTCATCATTTGACCCGTCTCCCCCCGGGTCCCCACCCATGTCTTCCCCTCAGTCCCATGCTTGTGAGAGATGGCAGGCAGGGCCAACTCTTATGGGGCCGCACCGGATTGTGAGGGGCCAAGTCTTCAGTTCCCTATTGTAAGCTACGGGGTCTGTAGGGGATGTGGTATAGCTGGGGTGCAGCCGGTCCTATCTAGGATGGACAACATGTGTGACCAGTGGTTCCCCCCCACTTTCCACCCTCCACCCATGCACCTCCCACCCCATTATCACAGCCACATTCAGGTGCACCCCCCTTTCATGTCTCCATAGATGTCCCAAGTTCCCAATCACTGGCAGGTGGGCCATAGTTAAGTCCATTCTTCCAGAGCCTCCCCCCGCCCAGGCGCGACACCCCACCCAAACAGCTACCCTCATTCGACTCACCCTATCCCAAGTGATTTGCAGCTCACCGGAAAGCCAGTCTCGTGCGGCCTGGTCGCTCGTGGGTGGCAGCATTGTGGCTATAAGCGCAAACCCAATTACCCTCAGGGAACCCCCCGCCCAACCTGGATCATGGATCCCCATCCATCTAGATTCTGCAAGTATGTAACCACCTCCAGGGGTGAGCAGAAGTGTCACGTCCCAGGGGCGTAGCAGTCACAGTGGGATGAGAAGGTCCCCCTCAGGCAACCTAGAGCCGTGGAGTCTGTACGGGGGTACGTTGCATTGGAGGTATGAATGCAGCAACGTGAGCCGACAAGGCTGCATTACGGGGCATAAGCTTGGAGGACCTCGGGGCATGAAGGATGGAGGCCTCCACTAACGGTGGACATATGGAACCCATGGTAGGCCAACTGGGGTAATTAGGGGAGTCCAGCAAACAGTACTTACAGTTGGGCAGAGTCCAGGGATTACGAGGAGGCAACGCAGGGGCATGATGGGGCCCATTATTCCTCAGAGCCTGCCAGGCCTTGCCAGCGGTGGGGATATCTTGCCAAGATGGTTGGCAGATGGCTGAGGTCCCGAGTCATCAACTCACCGGTGTCCTATTGGTTCCTCCAGCAACCAGTTGCGGGTCCTTACTAGCGGAAGGTGGAGTGCCCGTAGAAAGCGGGGGATGTCATCTGGCAATTTGACAGTGTGCCACGAGGTGCCCTGTCTAGCCTGGGTATACCTTTGTCTCTAAGAGCTGTGGTGATCGGCCTAAGGGCCCTTCTGGCATCCAGGGGGACTGAGAGGTCCTGGAAGAGCGACAGCTGCCATGCGGCGCAGCCCACACGTCCCCCATTAGCCCTCAGACCAGGGTCATGGCACCCCCCTACCAGGTGGCACCCGGGGTGGACCGCCCCCTCCGCCCCCCCTTAGTCCGCCACTGAGTGTATGAGTATGTCACAGAGCTCCCCAAGAATAAATCTCCCGGTAAGATGCCTATTGGTGTATCACAGACCTCCCCTATTATAAAAAAGAGTAATGTGCATTTTGTATGTAATAAATCTCATAATAATATGATGTAATATGTATGTTGTCTGTGTGTGATAGGTGTGATGGCTGTGTGTGATATGTATGCTATGTGCTGGCTGTGCGTGATATCTGATATGAGTGTTATGACTGTATGTAATTTAGATAAATATATGTAGTTCTGTCATTAACTGCAATCGTAGATTTTCACCATACCTCTCTTATCAGAGTAGCAGAAAAAGTCTCTACTGGACCTCTGAGGAAACGAAATCTACCATATCGAAACTCCCTGCCCACAAGGCACTGGGACCAGACGATTCATCAAACAAATATTATAACCCTTTGCAAAGACATTGACTACCATTATGTTATTGGTATACTGGGCCAGCCTTAGAGGTCTATGAGCTATGCGGCCGCACAGGGCACCATGGCAGCAGGGACGCCAGTCGGCCAACAAAACTCACACAATCCCGAGGTGGCAGATGTGCAGGATGCAGGAAAGATGTGTAGGTTGCGCTATGTAGTGTGGAAATCTCCTAATGTAGACAATTGGTCTAAGATTTATGCTCAAAGTATTATTCAATGTAAAATGGAAAGGGCTATCATCAACTTTGCACCAAAAAAGGGACATCACCTATTGGGACAAATGGATTAAAAAATAGACCCTGAATAGTAAACTTTTCTTTTTTTTCTTGTTGGATTTTTTCCTTTTCTCTCTAGCCGAATAGTTTCTTTTCGACTGGGAGATTACATAAGCCCCCCTCCCCTTCTCCCCCGAGCCTGATACCGATTTTTTTATTTATTTGTTTAATTTTTTTGGCACCGCGAACCAAGCAAATGTTTGTTTGTTAGTCTGTTATGTATTTGATTGTTTAATAAAACTGAAGTAATGTTTAGATAAACCTAAAAGGAATAGAACAATACATATGATGATTTGGTATTTGATAATCTCCACTATGACTATACAAAGTATTAAACAACAAATACCATATTCTGAAAGAATAGAAAGAAAAGAGGAAAAAAAATACAGACTAAGGAACAGTGCATACAAAAAAAATGTAATTTTAAATTTGATATGGCTACCTAAAATCACCAATCTGAGCAGACAAATATGGGATTTAGATTTACCAGATGGCCATATTGTGTTAAGCCACCACTACTTCACAGCAACCCCAATATCGGTGGTAATGTGGTAAACATACGAAATAGTGCTAGTGCTAAAAAAGCTAAAGTGTATTTAAATAATCTGTTGTATGAGCATTGTGAATATATATAATGTGAAATTAATGTGATCATCACATTAATAGGTGATTTTAAGTAGCCTTATGAAATTTAAAACAAAAACACATTTATGTGTGTGTTGTTCCTTAATCTGTATTATGTAATGTTTGTGTGTGTGTCAGTCTGCCTGTAACTTTGTGTGTGCCTGCAACTCTGTGTGTGTGTGTGTGTGTGTGTGTGTGTGACTTTCTGCCTGTAACTCTGTGTTTGATTGTCTGCCTGTACCTGTGTGTGTGGGTGTGTGTATTTGTCTGCCCTTAACTGTGTATGTGTGACTGTCTTCCTGTAACTGTGTGTGTGTCTTTGTGTGTGTGTGTGAGAATGCCTGTAACTGTGTGTGTATGACTTTCTGCCTATGACTGTGCGTGACTGACGTTGTGTGTGTGTGTTTGTGTGTGTATGACTGACTACCTTTAACTGTTTGTGTGTATGTGTACATTTAACTGTGTGTGTGGCTGCCTGTACCTGTGTGCTTTACTATATACTTGTAACTGTGTGGGGGTCTGTGCCTGGGACTGTGTGCATGTGACTCTTTTTGACAGTATATATGTATAATAGTGTATCTGACTGTGGAACTGTATCCATGCAACTCTGCAAAAATATACATCTGCATTTACACATGGGCCTACATGTATATATTTATCTAAATTACATACAGTCGTAACACTCATATCAGATATCACGCACAGCCAGCACATAGCATACATATCACACACAGCCATCACACCTATCACACACAGACAACATACATATTACATCATATTATTATGAGATTTATTACATACAAAATGCACATTACTCTTTTTTTATAATAGGGGAGGTCTGTGATACACCAATAGGCATCTTACTGGGAGTTTTATTCTTGGGGAGCTCTGTGACATACTCATACACTCAGTGGCGGACTAAGGGGGGGGCGGAGGGGGCGGTCCACCCCGGGTGCCACCTGGTAGGGGGGTGCCATGACCCTGGTCTGAGGGATAATGGGGGACGTGTGGGCTGCGCCCCATGGCAGCTGGGGTGTTGCACAGCTCACACGGAGACCAGCAAGTTTAACTGGCCGCACGGAAGGAAGAAGGGGCGGAGCTATGGACATTTAGGGGTGGAGCCTATCCGCGAGCGGGGGCAGGGCTTAACACGGCCCTTACAAGCTGCTGTTACTGCTGCACATGGAGGTGCAGCAAGAAGAAATCCCTGTTCCTCCACCTAACAGGCTCCTGACTTCAATGAATCCACTCCTCCAGCCCACACTGTCTGTAAGTAAGAGAGTGTGTGTGTGTGTTTATAACTGTCTGCCTGTAAATATGTGTTTGTGAATGTCTGTCTGTAACTGTGTGTGTGTGTGACTGTTTGTAACTATGTGTGTGTGTGTGTGTGTGTGTGACTGTCAGTCTGTAACTGTGTGTGTGTGTGTGTGACTGTCTGTCTTGTGTGTGTGTCTGTAACTATGTGTGTGTTTATAACTGTCTGCCTGTAAATATGTGTGTGTGTGTGTAACTGTCTGCCTGTAACTGTGTGTACGCGTGTGTAACTGTCTGCCTTTAACAGTGTGTGTGTGTGTGTGTGTGTAACGGTCTGCCTGTAAGTTTGTGTGTGTGCGTAACTGTCTATCTGTAACTGTGTGTGTTTAACTGTCTACCTGTAACTATGTGTGTGACTGCATGCCTGTAACTGTGTGTGTGTGACTGCCTGTGACTGTGTGTGACAGTCTGCCTGTGACTGTGTGTTACAGTGTGCCTGTGACTGTGTGATGCTGCCTGTAACCTGTGACTCTGTGTGTGTGTGTGTGTGTTTGACTGTCTGCATGTAACTGTGTGTGTGACTGCCTGTAACTGACTGTGTGTGTAACTACCTGTAACTGTGTGTGTGTGGCTGTAACTATGTGTATGACTGTCTGCCTGTGACTGTATATGTGACTGTCTGCCTGTAACAGTGTGCGTGACTGTGTGTAACTGCTTGTAACTGACTGTGTGTGTGTGTAATTCTCTACCCAGTGGCGTACATACCTGGGTCGCAAGGGTCGCGGCTGCGACCGGGCCGGCCCATCAGGGGGCCCGGCCGCCCTGCGACCCGATATGCACGCCAGTGGCAGTGTGGCTCTCTGCCCAG